TTGTTTACTCTATTAAATTTATATAATATTTGTTATTATATATAATATTATATATATGTGTATACGTGTGTGTGTATATATATATATATATGAAAAATGATTCATTGAATTTACTAATTTTTTATTAATTGAATTTACTATTTTATATATATATATATATATATACATGCATACAAAAAACTATTTTAATAATATCTTCTAAATATAAAATATTAATATGCTAAAAATATGAATATAATTAGAACAAATATAATTATTTAATTGACTTGTAATAAATATATTTATTTAGTTATCCTTTTGATACTGTCATTGAGAAGGTAGGGTATCTTCACTTTTATCAGTTAAGTTTTGACTATATTTTGTTATGGAAAAACCCTGTCCCTATGCATTTATTCCCTTAAGAAATGATAAATGATAAAAAAATATATGATATGTGACCCTGGAGCACAAAAGCAGTGTTAAGTCGCTGGGGTGTATTTGTAGCAATAGCCAAAAATACATTGTATGGGTCAGAATTATTGATTTTTCTTTTATGCCAAAAATCATTAGGATATTAAGATCATGTTCCATGAAGATATTATGTAAGTTTCTTACCGTAAATATATCATAACTTAATTTTTGATTAGTAATATGCATTGCTAAGAACTTCATTTGGACAACTTTAAAGATGATTTTCTCAATATTTAGATTTTTTTTGCACCCTCAGATTCCAGATTTTCAAATAGTTGTATCTCGGCCAAATAAATTGTCAACAAACCATACATCTATGGAAAGCTTATTTATTCAGCTTTCAGGTGATGTATAAATCTCAATTTCGAAAAATGGACCCTTATGACTGGTTTTGTGCTCCAGGGTCACATATGGCCTCTCTGAAGTCATTCCAGGTCATTAAAGGTCAGCACACTATGTGACGGTGATGTTTCTCTCAGGCGGGCTGGACTCGGTGGAGTACTACGAGATCGGCAGTAACGAGTGGAAGATGGCGTCTCCGATGCCGTGGCGCGGCGTGACGGTGAAGTGTGCGGCCGTGGGCTCCGTCATCTACGTTCTGGCCGGGTTTCAGGGGGTCGGCCGTCTGGGGCACATTATGGAGTATTACACAGAGACCGACAAATGGGTGGTTTCCAGTAAAGTCCGCGCGTTTCCCGTCACCAGCTGCCTCATCTGTCTGGTGGACACCTGCGGCGCCAATGAAGAGGACATGAATTCAACCTCTTCTTCCTCATCATCATCATTGGCGGATGGAAGAATGTAGCATTGCTTTCAGAGCATATAGATGATACAAAACCACTGGAAACACAAAGCAGAGAACAGACTGGGTCCTCATTGTGCCAAGACGTTCACTGTGTTATGTTCACCAGATTACGGTTTGTGTCTTTAGTGCAGATGCAGATGTGAAGAGCTTGTGCCGCTTAGATTGAACCGATAAGGTTTACTTTAAACATTATTTTTTTGTTGAGATAGGACTGCTTTTGTCTTTATGTCCACCTCTTTGCCAATTTTTGATCTTAGAGTTTTAACAGACAACTTGTGGGTGAAAATGTCCATAGATGTCCACAGTTCATTCTTTGGAAACATTTGTACCTCTGCATTTAGCAGATTTTGGGGACTAAAATGGTTTTTATGTTTTAAGAATTTGTGTTTTGACGTGTTTATATTATGTGTAAACAAACTTGTACAGTTCAGTTCACCAGTTTATAGAAGCATCTGTTTGAATTCGTTTTTATTTTTTAAATGTTTGAGTTTTAAATGTTTAATTCATTGTCCAATAAAAGCTTTCTTTTGTGTTAATACATTCATTAAAAAGAGTATTTTTTATTTGTACTTTTTTATTTGACTTGCAATGTAACCTTATATTTTAAGAATTTAATGAATGTAAAAAAAAGGGGTCATATGATGTTGCTAAAAAGAACATTATTTGGTGTAATGAAATGTGTTTATGCAGTTTAAGGTTAAAAAACACATTATTTTCCACATATTGTACATTATTGTTTCTCCTTTATGCCCCGCCTTTCTGAAACGCTTACATTTTTACAAAGCTCATCGGTCTGAAAAGCGAGGTGTGCTGTGATTGGCCAGCTATCCAGTGTGCTGTGATTGGCTGAATACCGTGTGACGGAAATGTTACGCCCCTACAATACTGTGATGATACTGTGTCCGGCCTGAGCGACGAGACAAAAACATTAAAACCCATTCCTCTTTTGGAAGACCAAACAAAGTAGTTTCGCTTTCACAACGAAACACACAGCGTCTTCAGGACATGGCGGCGGCGGCAACAATACTACAGCGAGAATAAAAGTTACGCCTTCTTTCTTTGCGTGAACATTTGGGCGGCGTTATGCAAATCTTCCCACATAGTGAGGTAGACATGTGGGGGCGTGTTAGAACGAGCCGTTTTAGGTAGGTGTGGCTGACTCTTAACTTTTATAAAGAATATCTCTTTGGATTTGAGACTTTAGTCTTTGCAACTTTACAGATCTTCTTTATGCACCAAGAGCTTGTAACACTCCAAAGAGAAAGGAACAATTGAAATCGCATCATATGACCCCTTTAATCTGAATCAAATGATTCACGAACCCGCTCCGAAGTGCCGATCTGAAGATTCACGTACCTGCTTAGTTCCCATCTGAATGATTTGCGATACGCACTCCAAAATCTGGTCCCAATTCGTGATATGCACTCCGAAGTCCCGAATCTAAATAAAATGATTTGCGGTATGAGTGCTTCAAAACAGTGAATCATTTTGCGACGCAATGATTTAACAGATTCAGCGTTTTGAAAAGCTCCAT